AAAAAAAAAAAAAAGAATTTATCATATCAAAGATCTCAGATGGCCTCCTGTTTATGATGGTTTGACTTACAATTTGTCAACATTACACTGGCACGAAAGCAATGTTCATTCCTTATGCCTCTCAAGTATAAGATTATAGCCAGAGGGTCACCTATAGCTCAGTGGATGGGGCTCCAGTCACATAAACCCCAGCTGGTGGGTTTGAACCTAGCCCAGGCCAGCCAAACAACAATGACAACTGCAACAAAAAAATAGCTGGGCACTGTGGCAGGCACCTGTAGTCTCAGCTACTTGGGAGGCTGAGGCAGGAGGATCACTTAAGCCCAAGAGTTTGGGGTTACTGTGAGCTGTGACACCATGACACTCTACCATGGGGGACATAATGAGACTGTGTCTCAAAAAAAAAGGATAATAGCCAGGTAAACCCATTATAAATTTAAAAGATGCTGTGAGTTAAAATGTACCTTCAGGTCAGGCACAGGTTCATGCCTATAATCTTGGCACTCTGGAAGCCAAGGTGGGTGGATTGCTTGAACTCAGGAGTTCAAGACCAGCCTGAACAAGAGCAAGACCCCATCTCTTCTAAAAATAGAAAATCCAGCCAGGCATGGCAGCGGGCGCTTATAGTTCTAACTCCTGGGGAGCCTGAGGCAGGAGGATCACTTGAGGCCAAGAGTTTGAAGTTATTGTGAGCTCTGATACCACGGCGCTCTACCTGGGGCAACAGAGTGAGACCTGCTGGTTGAGGGGCTTTGTTTGAATCTAACATACTCATCTGACTCAAATAATTGGAAATAGTTTTTGGAGATAGGGGCTTCAGGAACAATTCCATTTGTATTAGATACATCTAATGATGAGTCAGATTAGGGTTCTTTATCAGCCTATAAAAGGAGAAAATGTGGTTATTTGAATCAGGGAAGGATGTGGAAACTAGTAAGGAAATAGGATATGTGATCTGTCGTAATTCTAGGTTGCACAGTAGAGGATAAGTTTTGTTGGGGTGGTGATAATGGTATTTCCATCCTGACTTGTTCCAAAAAGTACCTGTGGCAGTCCAGAGAACATTGTCATGAGCTAAGCTTCTCTATAAACTGACTGTTTGGCCATCATTTTTATTGACTTAGATTATGAAATAAAGCATAACTTTTCTGGTATTACTAAGCGAATCTCTGTAAAGAATTATATATAGCTCTAGCCAAACTAAAGTTTTGTATATCTACGGCAGGTTCCCAGCTGCCCCTCCCAACATAACTTCCATAGAAATTAAACCCCCTGAAGATGGGAGCCAGTGTTTTGGTGTTTAATAGAAACTCAGTAAACATTTGAAAGAGTGAGCATATGATTATGTGATAATTTGGGGGTAACCTAACTAGAAAGAATTATATATTCTAATTCTGTTTATTCTGATAATTTATCTCTCAGCTAAAAAGTTGCCAAAGAATGAACCACAGAATCCAGGAGCGAATTCTGCCAGAGGAAGAGGAGTAGATCTTACTGAACCCACACAGCCAACCAGGAGTCAGTGTTGTAGTAACTAAATCTCCAGTTTGAACTAGCTGGAATTTTCTTCTGCTTCCTAAATGTTAAT